AATTGTGTTAAGTTAATAAAGTAGGGAGATGCACTGATCTTGTTAGCCTAACTGAAAAGAAACGTGCCACTAGAGAAACCAACTTATTACCTGTAGTTATTGGAAAAGTGAAAGTCCATTTAGATTCTCTTCATGTGAAGCTGTGTTTTAACTGATAGTGCATTCAGCTAAACAGCCAGGCACATCTGGGGAAGTATATTAAAAGTGCAGACTGCAATCAGTATTTGATTTTGAAATGTTTTGTTTTGAAATGCTTAACTCAGAATGTATATGCATTTTACATTACCAATTAGGTGCACCAAACACAATCTTTTCCTCTCCTCCCTTGTTGGAATTCAACACAGACTGCTCCCTTCATGATATCCTGGACCATTGTCGACACCCCCTTCTCTCCCCCTTGACAGCCCCCAGGGAACTTTCCCCTTCTGAGGGTATAACACTTGCCCTTTTACCTCCTCTCACCTCAAACATACCCTCCAGGTGAAGCAGCATTTCACTTGCTGCTGCTCACGATGCAATCTCTTCTACATCAGCAAAACCAAATGTGTGACCGCTTTGCGGAATTCCTCCATTCGGTCTGTAAGAATGACCCTGGCCTTCAAGTTGCTTGCCATTTTAACATACCATCTTGCTCTCGTGCTAGCATTGTGCCTTAGGCCTTCTGCAGCGCTCCAGTGAATCTCAATGCAAGCTGGAGGAACAGTGCCTCATTCTCCACAAAGGCATGTTACAGCTTTCAGGACTTAACATCAAGTTCAACAGCTTCAGAGTATCAACATCTCCATTTCAATTACACCCACTTCTTCCTCCCCCACACTGCCCGCTTATGTCTTGCTTACATCGGTTTGCTTTCAGCAAAGCAAACCAATTTTTAACCATGCACACCTACCATTAGCAACTGTAAGAGATATAAAAGAATCTATAATTCTCGCCTATCATTACCATTCTCTTCATCTTTTGTTGTGGACACCCTCACCATCTGCTCCATTTGCTGCTCTTCCTTACCTTTTGTCAAAAACATAAAATCATCTTTGTCCAGGCCCCTTCAGTTCTGAAATATACTAATATAAAAACAAAAGAGTGAGTGCTGAAGTTCCGAAATAAAAACAAATTGCTGAAGAAAATCAAGTCTGGCAGCTTTTGTGGAGAATGAAAGAGAGTTAATATTTTTGAATCCTGTATGACTGTTCAAAACATTAAGTTTATTTCTCTCCCCGTGGGTACTGCCAGACCTATGGAGTTTCTCCAGCACTTTTTTTTTGAAAAAAGAATTCAAATCCCCAGCATTTTGCTTTCATGTCTGCTATTAGCAAACTGCTGAATAGTAATTCAAGATTTTAAATGTCATACTATTATTGAGGTTGAAAACGGATTCCATAGTTTAAACTTAGTGGTAGGAAAACGCAAAGAAATGATAATACAGGACAAAATTAATAATTACATTACCAAGTATGAATTAGTATGGATCTTTTAAAAGACAAACTGTGTTTAACTAAAGAGAGTTCTTTGATGAGGTAACAGGAAGAGTTAATGAGTACAGTGCAATTGATGTTGTGCACATGAATTTCTAAAATGCATTTACTAAAGTGCTACATTTTGATAGGAAGAAAATGAGGGCAACACAAACGTCGAAATTTTAAAGGGTCTACATTTAATGATTGTAGGGCAGATTGATAAAGTGTTTAAAAAGGCATACAGGATCCTGGGCTTTATAAATAAAGTACAAAAGCAAGGAATTTATTATGAACCTCTACAAAAACAATGGCTCAACTGGAGTAGTAGATCCCATTTTGAAAGTATGGGAAGGGTCCAAAGGACAATGCTGATTAGATTGTCTAGAGTGGCTCCATGGATGCATTAGTTTAAAAATGTTAAAACAGACACAAAGTGAGGAGGAGACCCATACCTACTTACACCAAAGCAGCCCATGTTTGAAAGGCACAAAATGGCTGACGAGGACTAATCAAAATGGGGCAGTCTGCTTTAACATTTAAAGTGAAACATAGTACTACCTTGGAACAGAGCTACCCAATGTCATACAAAGGCCCTGCAACCCATCATCCAAGATGGTTTTGATAAGAAGATGCCTAAGAACAGTCCAATAGCTGTAGTCTCACTAATGAAAGAATGTTCACCCACTGAAGACATAGCACCCGTGGCGTAAATCTTAGCTCATGTACCCATCAGATCAACTCCCTAAACAGCTGCAAAACAAACAATTAAATAAAAAAAAACACAGCTAAAGACATATTTAGTAATTAGCTTTTCACCTACAGTATTAATAAATAGGCTCTAGTTAAAGAATTATTCAGATAATCACAGAAGTAGGTTTCAACATCTAACTAGAATATAATACAAGCATTAGGGAAAAAGCATTTAAACCCAGAAGTTAATTAGCTTTAGGACAGGTTTATGCCCTGAACAAGATAGACATGTCCAACTTATTAACTACAAAAAGTGCTAGCAGTAAACGTAGCTGTATAACGTTACACTTTATAACAGGAATTAATCATATAGCAATTAGTTAAAACTAACTGTCATATCTGTGTTATAATATAGATATGACAGTCAGGATGTGGGAAATATAAAAGGAATGATTAAATTTGATAATGGCAGCACACACAAGATCATGAATAACAGAATTCAAACAGCCCTTAGAGATAAGAAAGTCCAAGCGTATAATTAATAACTTTTGGAATGTGAATTAATAGGATGCATAGAAAGACCCCACGGCCTATAGATTACAATGTCTGGTGAAACACACAATCAGACCATGGGAACCTGGGGCTGTCCATAGGAATGCCCATCATGGATTCAAGTGTCCCGCACGATTGAATGTATGGATTAAGGGGGGGGGGGGGGGGGGGGG